GCAAGTATTATTATCATCTTTAAAAGCACATGCTGTTCAGCTGATGGTTTGAAATATTTTGTGAAGCTGTATATCAAGTCTGCAGGAATGTCAACATTAAACATGAAAACTTTTGCGAAAAAAAGCGCATCAATCACGACGTTTTCTCTCTTCAAAATGGCAGATATATCAAAACATTGCCACTTGTATGGAATTACTGCTGGTCTGAACATTTGCATAGTTAGACAAAAACTCAAAAGCAGATCAAACTTGCAAGATACTACTATTTCTCCACAACAAAAACATGTCCAAACACGCATTCAGCACACGTGCACACGTATAATTAGTGTTATATGAAATGGCTACCAAATACTTTGTCATCAGTAAGATTGTAAAAGGTTCAGAAAATAGTTACATTTTCACCAGTTCCTCTGCTCCCGAGTCACGAAAATTAAGTGAAATTCTTCCAGTAGGCTGAGAATGACCTTAGATAGTACAGCTCTATTTTCTCAATTGCAATAGGATTCAAGTGGGAGGGGACAGTGGAAAACACAATGAGGAATCAGACAAATGAGCAGCTGAGATCTATAATTCAACAAATAATGGCCAAGTGCCCAACCTTTGGGCTATTTTTTTACTTATTTATTTGTTAAAAGGTGATTGTATTTGGGAATATACTTGACAATTTAGTGCATTTCTACACCAAAGAACCTTAAAATCCAAATGAAAAATGCAGAGAGTAGGAATTCTGGTAAGATTTGCATTAAATTTCTTTTGTTGTGGTATAGACTTTTTTGTCCACCATAGACAAGCCAGGGAGAATCCTCCTCATTGAGAAGGACAGGATGACCACAACAGGCCCCCGAAGAGGGAAGAGTCCAAGAATAACTTTGCGGTAGCTAGACACAGAAGTGAAATGAATCCAAGTTTTGACAGAGAAAACAGCTGGCAGCAACTGCAGCGCAGAGGACAGCCGGTACTTACATCATACACAGTTTCCAGAAAAAGCACCAGACAGCATAGCAGCGGGTAGCTAAATTAGATACCCAAATTTAAAAAAAAGGTTTTACTAAACACTTTTCCAAAACTGTCCAGCGGGAATTTTATGTGTAAAGCAACACAACTGTTGTGTGTCAAAAAGAAATTTTTCTGACAGCACTCACATGAGTTGTATCTGGCTAAACAACATTAAAACTGAAGCTTCTAATTAGGTCAGACCAAAACCACAGATTACTTCAATATTCGTATACCGAATATAGGATTCCTTTAAATAAATAAAAACAGCAGAGCGCACTAAAATATATGAAACACGAAAGTAAAGGATGAGCCTCCCACTCCTCTTTCACTGCTCTCATTGCTCTTTAAAGTCGTTGCTAAAAGGAGCCCTGATGCTTCAGTGTCATTCCACCTGCCAGGTTCACTGATTATTGCAATTTATTTGACTGAGCAGAAGAATTAAGTTACTGCTGCCTCCATCAGTAACCACTAACAGACCTTGCTAGAAAATATTTATTTAAATATTCAACTATGCAGTATGGTATATGCCAAAGAGAAAATTTACTCATCTCTGGTCTGGATAGTTGTGTAATATTTGAACTCTATGTGCAAAGAAATCCTGTAATCCTTCTGTCAGTTTCAGATTAGAAATTTTACAAGAGGCCAGTGAATCAACTAAAGGCTATTACTATATATGTAGAAGAGACACACAGTCAAACTTACTAACTGATTAGGAAAAAATAGTTGACCTTAAAGTTACTGGCACACAAGCACGTGAAAGCCTCACTGCTCTGGGATTTCAGTACATTTGTCCGAAATGAGATTCCAGTCTGGATCAGTGGCAACTGATTCCAAATCAAAGATCATTAAATGATCAAAAACCAAAACCATACAATTGAGCAAAAGCAATTTAGGATAGTCAAGAGCAACCACCATATTGTCATGAGAAGCACAAGGCATGAAAGAAACATCTTGCAGACCTACACAGCTACACCACTATAACTTACAAGCAGGAAACAAAGCTGTTTGTTTAATCTTCTAATGCAACTTTCCTATTTCATTCTGTTTTCAAACAAAAGAAAGACTTACAGTATACAGAATCAGAGAATCATTAAGGTTGGAAAAGACCTCTAAGATCAAGTCCAACCATCCACCCACCACCACCATGCCTACTAAACCATATCCCAAAGTGCCACATCTACATGTTTTTTGAACACCTCCAGGGATGGGGACTCAACCACCTCCCTGGGAAGCCTGTTCCGATGCCTGACCACTCTTTCAGTAAAGAAATTTTTCCTAGTACCTACTCTAAACCTCCCCTGATGCA